GAGGAGAGGAGAGGAGAGGAGAGGAGAGGAGAGGAGAGGAGAGGAACACACATGAAAGTAAGAGATTTAGAAAGGAGGGAACAAATTTGTAAAATCAGGTATTTTTCTGTAGCACATTCAACTTTTAGTGATTGCTAAAACACTTGAATTGTGAAAATAAGTGAGACGTGCATCCACACTGGGTGCTCTGATACCTCTAATCAGCAAATCTGCAAGGTAAAAGCCATTTATACGTGCAATAATATACTTTCAGCATCTCGGTTTAGCAGCCATATTGAGGCACTTAAAGATGTTTCCTCCTAATGCTTGAGATTTTTCCTAGAAGAAGGAAAAGTACTCTCTGAAAAGATTTATGATGCACAGGACCCTCTTTTTGAAATTCTACTACTACAAATATAGCCAACATAAAACCTGGGAATAAATAGATGCAGTTGAGCTACAAAGAATGTAACCTGTGGCAGAAGAACCCATCCAATCTTTTTCTAGACAAGAAGAAAACCAGACACAGAGATCTGCAGATATCTGTGTCCATGAAAACAATACATTTACAAAGAATCTTCATACAGAGCAATATATATCAAGACTTTTCACATATCCATTAACTATCCTGTAAAAATGAAAGCTAGTTTTTTTAGCCACTACTGTAGTTCGAGAGAAAACCAATTTAAATTTTATCCACTTGGCATCAATGTATTTTAAGAGACAATATCATAAACCTGCCTACCTTCACAGATGCTGTATCTCCAGGCTTTTACAGCAAATCTGGAAAATGTCACACTAATGTTTAAGCTCTTTGTTTCCTTTTTCTTATACTTTGCTTGGCACCTCTTCACCTCTTATGAATGAAGGCCAGTTCATTGCTTGCAGCCAGACAGTCTCTGCAACACGTGCCCAGCTGCCCAGGGCATCTCATTTCTCAGTCTTTGCACTCTGGCTTTCTGTTCGCCATGCGCACTTAGAAAGACAGCTGCTATCTGGCTGGGTTTGGTACTTCTAACATCTGTGGAGGTATAAGCTAAATCTCCCATCTCTTCACTTACAAACTGTCCCTGACTGCAGTCTTAAAAAATGAACAAACCAATGAACAAGCAATCCCACATGTTTCTTAGGCATTTTTTAATCAGCTCAACAAATTCTTTCCTTAATCAAAACACAGCATATATAAGCTTGAAGGGCAATACGTTTTTCTCCATTTCATTCACTGGAAAGCTATGGCACTACAGTCGTCTTTTGCCACTACAGTTGCAAAGGACAGTAGGAAACAAGCCAGCAGTCAACTATCACAGAAGAACCAAAAAAGATTTTTCTTTTCAACTTTGATTCATGTCTGCACAAGTTTTGTTAGCTTAGATTGTATGGGGTACAGCTGTTAATCCAAAAGAAATAGCTCTCTGTCAACCCATTCTCATAGTTTAGGGCTGGGAAGGAAGTCTGTTTGGATAGGAACCTATTCTACTGCCATTTAATAACACTGATTAATGTCTATCGAGAAAAAAAATATTCTCCTCACTGACAGAAACCAAGAAAAACTGAGACAAGGAAGGATAGTTGCCAGACTCTGTCTCTTTTGCCAAAGCAGAAGRCCTTCCTTGGCTGATTTCTGCGTAGCCAAGTTGCATGAAATACTATCCTCTCTGATGCTCCTCGCCCAGTCAAGAGGCAAGGGCGTCACCATCTCGCGACCTGACTATTATAATCTTCAGTAACAGCAACTTGTGCTGCCTCTGCCTCTTCCTTCGGCCACTGGTGAGCTCTCTGCTCCCGCAGCAGCCTTCGCTCCTCTCGCCTCTTTAGCCGGTTCTTCTGGTGCTCCTCTTGCTTGGAGTACTGGAAGCGCTGCAAGAAGAGGTCCTTCGCGTATTCATAGAGCTGCATGTCCAAGAAATTCAGCTCCTCTATCCGTTGCCGCACACCCTCATCTATGTCCACGTTGGAGGCCCGCGTGACGTTGAACTGGGTGAACGGGGAAATGAATTTCAGGTTGAATGTCCTCTCAAAGAGATACTGCGTTTTCCTCTGAAACTCTGTGAGTCCAAAGAAGGCCATATTTTTCAGATTGTTCTTGGCGCTTTGGAGAAGGATCATATTTCTTTCGCTCTCATTCATAAAAGTCAAGTTGTAACATCCCACCAGGCTGAGGTCTGCCAGCATGCGCACCTGGCGGTTGTTGGCTAAGTTGTAGCTACAATCCATAAACTCCTGCAAACTGACTCCAGACCAATCTTCTCCCTCATAACAGGTAGGAAGCTCRTCGGGCGTTGGACTTCTTCCATCACACATGTGAAGGGAAGTTTTCCATGTCGCACCCCTCTGGACATGTTTCCACTCGCTCAAGTACCGTGACACCGGATCCCTCAGCATTGTAATGTAATAGAAGTTCCTGAAACACATCATTAAACACAGTTTTCAGATTTAGTGGATTTCACTTTATTATTCTCCAATAAAATGATTACCAGTGGCTACCCTCCCTTCACTTATCCCACTGGAAAGCAGGCAGTTAAAGTGCCTACTTGTCAGACAGTAAAAACCTTAAAGCTTGGTAAGTACTGTGAATAAAATACCAGGTAGATTGGGACAAAGAGAGAAAAATGAAAGCCAATAAGCAGCTAAGAGAAGAAGGAATTGCTTTGACCTCTCGACTGCTCTGTGGTAGTTATTTCATACAGAAGCTAATTAATAGAACCGTACTCCCCTCTACTTTGAAAATGCTAACGTGCAGTAATATCAGRAAAAAAATGAGGAAAAAAATGACTACAGCTGAAGGACAGCATGGAGAACTGATACAACATGTCCCATTTCCYACTGGCACTGAGAAACTCAGCAGACCCTGGAAGGACTGTATTGTGTCACCATTTTTGCCAGTTCTCTAGTAAGATAAATCTTGCCATTTCTCTTTGAGACATGCAAATACAAAACGATAATCTGTATAGCACTTGGTCAGATTATATGAGAAGCATGAATAATACCATGGAGATGCTGCAAGCACTAAAAATAATGCCATGTGGAAGACTGGCATGAGTGATCTACTTAAGAAGAATCCTCTCATTAAGTGGACTGAAGATAATGGGGGGATGAAAATCCATTTATATGATTTAAATTTAGACAAGTGATTGATTAAATTTAGTTATAATCATATAGTATAAAAGCATTTTTTATATAAAAGTTATTGTTATCCAACCTCACCCATCGGGAATACAAAAGAAACACCAAGAAATATTGATTTGAAATAGAACAACTTTCTGCAGAAATCACAATGTCAATTTGTCTTCAAGATGCTGAACTGAACATTTGTACATCTATGTATGGCAATCTGGGTATGCTTCAAGTGGGCTTACATAGTTGCATTCAATAGTTTTTTATTGAAAAATGTTTTATTCAATAACAAGTAACCTAAATTACAGGGTGATATCATAAGGATAAAACAAAACCAAAATACTTATGACTTCTGTCAGCTAGAATAACCAGCAGAAGATTCATGACTAAAATTAACAGACAGTACGGTACAAAAATAGGCTCATGAGTTTGTATGACTCATCTGACTGCAAACAATACATTAATAAATCATGAATCCTAAGATTTCTGCAGAAAGCTCAGATCTCAATATTCCTTCTTGAGTCTACACGAGGATGAAGAAAGCAAGCAATGATAGGAACAAGCTACCCTGTAAACCAGCCAGCACTTGTGAGGGCCATCTGACACAAGAGCTCACTTTGGCTGCATGAAAGAACTAGAAACTTTTTAAAATTCATACATCCTTTTTAGATATCATCCATTTTTTATCACTGAAGACTCCCTACAGCTTTTCCAGAAACCTAAGCTTTACTTTGTCATAAAAAYAGTCGTGCCCCTCGGTGTTCCCTAAAATGCAGACATACGCCCCAGCTCATAGGAATCAAAAGGAAACAGGGCTGAACATTTTGTTTCTGTTCATTCTGAGTTCTTCATCTACAGGACCTATAATATATTTTCCAGAATACGATAACAGGGTCAAACTACTGACTCTGTGCTGTTGCAGGGTCATTTCTTCAACTACTATTGACTGGAAATAGCTGTTTCAAAGATTATTTCACAGCAGAAGGGTCACAAGTGGAAGTATGTGATCTGAGGAACACCAAGATATTTTCATTATCACTCGCATTGCAAGTCATGTGATTTGTGCTAATAAAATAATTTGGGGCCTGGGTTTTCTGGTAGCCATTCACACATGATCAAACTGCATTTGAACTATTTTGATCTACGTCAGCAACTTACACAGCCCACATCAGCAGAGAAACTGACCCACAACTGTATATGGACAGACAGTCCTAAAATCTGTTTTCACCATTCCTGTGGACTGGGAAGTATCAGAAATCTCCTCACGTGCTCTGCAGCACAAAAGGTCCACTGCAAAAAGACCTGTCTTCAACTACCCCATGTACAACTTCCCTGTCTCAAATCCAATGTTCCCCTCACCTTGACTCTACCTTGTACCTATGGGAGCACATTCAGAACTGTGTTCCAATGAGCAGAACAAAAAGGGAACATTTCACCAGTGCTGTGAAAGGCAGCTAAAAAATTCCATCTCCCACTCAAATGCCATAACCTCTCAACCTAAGACACTGTTATTGCAACATCCAACAGGTACTGACAGAACAGAACAGTTACAGAAAAYGACCGAGTCCTCAGGGAGCAGAAATGAAAGAAAGGACAAAGATTCACAGTCGCCAACATCCACAACAACAAAGATGTAGTGTTGTTTTAGTCCTTGTGTTGCTGCCTCTCCCATCCTGGGATAATTTTAGATGTTGACATGTGATAACAGACGGGTTTAAAAGTTGCTCTTGACACTTATTTATCCCACTAATAATAGTTCGGTCTTTCTTCACCCACTCCTAGCATTCCCTTTCTGGCATGACTCAGGGCAACAACAATTAACAGAAGCACCTCCTTTGCATCAATCATTTCCATTTCATGGAAATGTAAATGCCGGATATGTAAATGCACTTAATGTGCAATAAACAAGCATATGAAGCAAATGCAGGGAAATGAGAAAAGTGTGTCTCTGTATAACTTATGCAGATTTCCTCTTGTGGGCTGGATAAGAAACTTTGCCCACTGATACTGTTCCTCCTTATGACTTGCTGGCTTCTGCATCTGTTTTTGCTGCCCTCATAGATTTGCTTGTGGTTTGTGCATCTTTTTGCCTGTTACCTCTTTGTGATAAAGGCTGGACAGCTTTTTCATATGGAAGCAGCCTGACACACACTTTAGTTTGTGAGACACTGGTAAGTAAGAGTCCTGCCCATGCTCTCCCCATTCACACTTCAGTCTTCTGTTTAACCTTCTCTGCGTGACTTTCCATTACCCTTAACCAACCTCAAGCTGGAGATCTAGRCTTCTTCCACCCCACCCTGGACACTATCCACATGACACTATAGCAAAGCTGCTGAGAGGAATGGGAGATGCAGTGCAGCAGTCAAGGCACTGTTGTCACAGATTTTTCCCTCAGGGAAAAGGATATCTTGTCTCTAGAATAAAGATATAAATAAAAATACATAGGTTTGCCACATTTGCTTCAGTGGGAAAATTATGAAAATGATCTCAGGAAATTGTTTTCAAATGTTGACAGTTACAGATTAAATATAGCAACAATTCAGAATTCTCACTTCTTAACACAGTTTTCAGTCTCACTTGGGATGGCTGATGAGTCAGTTCCTAGCAAAGGCAAGAGGTAGTTCATGAAGAAATGAAGCCAAGGAAGGCTTTCAGTCTCCTCTTTCTTCGCTGTTTGGTAAAAAAGTGGCAAATCTGCCTGCTACTGAACGTGTGTGAGATAATCTCCTGTCCTCACTTCTCCTCATTTGTGCACATGGCTGCCCTGCCTCAAGTAGGCTCAGGCTTATATAGCAATATTAAAAGCTGCAGYTGCCCACTGTAAAAAATACACAGCAAAGAATTAACTATTCATTCCTTCATCGAAGAATAATCGTAGAGTGTAATTTTGCCAGTGCATGGCTGTCTACACAGGTTTATATCTGTAGGTATATATCAACAATTAGATAGCATTTCAAACAATCTTTACGGCAGCACCAATCCACTAGTCATTGGTGGTATTAGGTATTTAGATATTAGACAGTCTGAAACAAAAAGCAAACAAACAAAWTATAGAGGGAAAAAAAAAGGAAAAAGAAAACTTCATACAATGTTCCTAGAGTGATTACTTTTTGAGAATCTCTTTTTGAGCGTAATGCACTGAAGTCAGTGGGTAACCAAAGTTGTCACTTTGGGATGGTTTACTTTTGGTCAGATGACAAGCATGGTGATGGTCAAATAATCCATGCAAATGCCCAAATCAGCCCCAGGAGGACACACCATGCAGCCCACACAAGGAGCTGTGCTAGCAGAAGAAATCCCTGGGATATTAGCACTGCCTAGCTGCCGGTGTATCCCTCTCCTGCTCCCAGGGCTTTGAGAAGCTTTGTGTTTGAAATATGACCATTTACACTAGAATTAAAAAGCAACTGGAAATGCAAGCCCCAGTGGCATGAAATCCAGTCTCTTCATTAGCATTAGGCAAAGAAAATCGTTAATTAATAGAACAGCTAAAATGAACTTCTAGTTATAACTTAGGAACACGTATTTCTTTCACGTTGTAAGGTATTTCAATATAAATACTTTAATCTTACGTTAATCCTTCCATAGCATCGCTCTGATTTAGAAACTCATTTCAGAGGAGCTGACTGATATTAGTGGAGATGATCCCAAAGCAGGGCATTTTGCCTCCTCTATCGCCATGGAACAGACATCCCAGCAGAGAGACATTTACTAAAGACATGAAGAATCACTGCAAATGGAGAACAAAAACATCCTGCGGGGTCTCCTAGGGAAGAGGGATGAATGACATCTTCGCTGTCACTCCTGCTCTCGTGTGGAGCAGCTGGCGCACAGGAGAGCTCAGAGCAGGGAGAACGCCAACTACCCCTTCTTTGCTCAAGGAGTTAGCCAGGACCTTCTGATCTGAGTGATGAGCTTCATAACGGGAGAGCAGCACACTCATAGCAGCCGATGCAGGGATGGAGGAATACTTGAGGTGGAGTTGAARAAAAGAAAATAAGAGTGCAGTCACAGGAGAATATTTTGAAGGACACTAACAGCCAGAAGGAAGAAGAACATACATGACTAMAAATCCCAGATGCATCGTAAGAGCATTGAGGTTCTGGTTCTCCCTGGGAGAAAGCAAAATAAGAAGACCTGAGGCAGCTTATGACCAAGGTTGTGACAAGAAGTTTCAAGCTTTAATTCTGGAAGTGAGTCTCCTTCCATAGAAAGTTCTAGGAGACAGGACAAAAGCCTGTCTGGTGACATGTTTCTGATGATGACAGGGGCAGTGGCTAGGAAGATCTGTTGTTATC